TCATAACTTGGATACCTAGGAAATAATCTCTAAACTTATTAAAGGAGTGAGTTTTCCCTCCTGTTTCCTCAAAAGTGAAAGATCAGGAAACAGAGAATTCACTTAACAAGCAAAGCTTGATCTCTACTGAAAGAGAACACGGGGTGTTACAAGTCCTAGCTATGATGCTGAGACACTCATGAGAGGTGGCTGCACTCCCCACGAAATGAAACAGAACGTGGCCATGGCTGCCACTCTCCATGACACAGCACTTCCCTACACTGCCCTGGTGCTGCAAGGTGAATTGCAAACATAAGTCATCCTCTGCTTTCGGTTTGTTTGCCATCTACAAATCTTTTTTTCTCCTTTTCTGCTGCTACCTATAGGTTTCAAAATGTATTCTTTTCCTTACTTTTTGAAAGCATGACCTTATTCTTTGCACTATTATTTCTGTTACCAGGTCCAAACTGGAAACACTGGATTGCATTCAAATTGGTTTCCCCCATACCAAAATATAACCGACTGCGAGAGCTATTTGAACTGGAAATACAGACCAGATTTTGCTGAAAAAGACAGTTTATTAAATTTACAGAAGTCCCATTACCAAAATTATTCCAAATTTAATTTACTGTCAGTTTAGTAGATTGTGTTTCTAAGCATCTATCTTCAAGTTACTATGGAAACAATTCCTGATACTTCTATCCTAACAGAAAATTTAAGATGAGTAATTTTAATGTAAAACGTTTAGTGTGACAAAGTGAAGTTTAAGGGGGGTTAAGCAGGATTTTAGGCGTGGGCACGGCAGAGACAGGTTCAGGTGGGAGCGGAGCCATTTCCCGAGCAAGAGCTCCCTCGAGCGGCGAGAGCGGGGCCCGGGGCCCGGAGCGAGCAGGGCACACACGGGCCCGAACCCCCGGCTGCCCACAAAAATCATCCCTGTAATGAAAGGAGACAATTAAGAGGGTCAAGTAATACACAGAACAAAAGGAAGTTCATAACCTTAGGGTAATTGAATTCAACTCGGGTCAGCTGCATCCCTGTCACAAACACACGGAGTATATATATATATATATTTAAGTCATCAACAACATTACTTAGATTTGGAAAACTGCCACATTTTAAATACCAGGCTTTTCTCTTTTTTTTTTTTTTTGTCTTCAAGATTTGCTGATCAAAAGGAAAGGAACAAGAGTGTTCTTTGGACTGCATGCTTCAATTCTAACCAAAAATTAAGTATGCCCACATCATCTTACTTGAAGGGGGCTAATTTCTTTCCAGATAGAAAGAAGATTTCAAAGTTCAAACTTATCTGAAGATACTCGAGATGAACTACTGTAACTGTTCTTCTAGAGTGCCTGCTTCTCTGGCAATCAAGGCAGGACAGGAAGACTTCAGCAAGGCAGCACTGCCGCCCTACGCTGCTTTCAGCAGGGCATCCGCACAGCACCAGGAATAGCCACAACCCTTATCACAGAGCCAGTCCGCATCGCTTTACTGCCCATGGAAAACTTCCAGGTAAAAGGGAAATAAGCAGCAGGAGAAACGAGTTGAAGTCCTTTACCAAAGACTTTTCCTAGAGGGAGCTGCTAGCATGTAACACAGCAAAAGCACAGCCTGATGACAGCCATCGTTTGGCACGCGATTTTAAAAGAACTGCCCTCAGCTTTAATCAGAGAGGGTCGGGAAGCATTCCAGGGAGAGCTCTGCCCTTGGGAAGAGCCGCGGTTTCTCAGGCCTCAGAGCTGTAGCTAAGAAGGATTTTGTCAGTGACTGCCACCTCCAGCTGAACAGAGCTCAGGCCCAGCCGGGCTGCAGGGACTTCCCTGGCCACAGAGCAGGAAACACAGAGCCCGTGGGGCAGGTGCACACTCGCAGGGGGCTGCAGTGGGGATCCCCTTGCAGACATGAACAAAGTGCTGATATGCTAAGTTGCATGTCCAACATCATACAGGCTATTTCAATATCATTTAAAAGGTGGGAAAATTGCATACACGAAAAAAGTCAGAATCTCTTCGCAGTATCCTTTTGTCCAGACTCTTCCTGATTACTTTGCAAATCAGATTTCCGCTGTAAATGCTGCATTTAGTTCATGAAAGGGATAACTACTGTGCTCTATTAGAAGCATTAACCAAAATGCATTACTGGGAAAAATTCTTTAGAACAACAACTTCATATCACAAATAATCTTAGCTGAGAGCAAGGCAGTCACCTTTATTTTTGGGGAACTTTGATTAGATTATCTTAAAACTCCCAATCCTATATATGAACCCTGTGACCAAATCAGGAGAGCCATCTTTTAATTTCTTAGGTGTTACTGTTTCTCACAAACCCTTTCATTAATTTTTTATTCAGGCAAAGAAGTCATTAAGTAACACAGGAAGAGATTTTATTTCTTCACTTTCCCCCTTTCCAGACCTCTCAGAAGAAGTCAGAAATGAGTCATTCAAGAGGAGTACGATGATGATGATAACAAGCTAACAGTTATTTTTCACATTTTCAGAGTACAAAGGTAGCATATGCATGAATACACAATTTCTGGTTTTAATACAAGAGAGGATCTGCAAGTCAATTTTAATATTTCTCTCCTCTAAGTTCTGTATTATTCCCTGCAGGCTAAAGAGATTGGTGGTAGCTGAAAGGCAAAAAATCTCACTCTCAGATACTCTGTCCACATTATTAGTTCAGTGACACACAAAAAAGTATTCTGATTTTAACTTGTTATTCAAACATGTTTCAAATTGGAAAAGATCAGACTGACATTGGGTAAAGCTCCAGACTTGCACCTATGCTGAAATCAATGGTAAAAGTCAGATCAACTGGAACAAGTCTGAAGCTAAAGTTATGAAGTAACCTTTAGAACTACAACAAATAATGCAATAGGTATTGGTGCATGGTTAAACAAACTCATAAAACCTCTTTATAAGGACAGATGTGCCCTTTAGTACAGAGCTCTGAAACAGCACTCTTGAACTAGTCAAGAGATACTGCTCCAGCATGTAAAAGTGTTTGATGTTAGAAAGCTTCAAATGTGACAATCCTCTGCATTTTTTCTAAGCACAAAGGTCTTGTACATAAAACTTTTATCAGATGCACTTCCTCCAAAATAACACATAACTCTAGACATCAAAATTTTGGCTATATAAAGGACAAGAGAAAATGCAAACCTTCATAACTTAAGATGAAATATTATTCTTTGTTATTTGTTGTGTAGTCTTTGCACTCACAAAAATAACTGTAGTGAAATATTTTGTGTAAACTAATTTATCTGCAACACAATGTAGACTGGGAAGAGCATGTGCAATGGAAAATGGAAATGTAGAAACCTGATATTCAGCAGTTTCTAATAAATTCCTTATGCGTTTCCTAAGCACTGACTATAAATGTGTTGATCTATTAATATTTTGACTCAGCTATAATAAAATCACAAATATAAGCTTAAAGCATAGATGAAAGAGTCACAATTCATCACCAACTGGAATTCAGTAACAACTTTCAGCAATCTCTTTCCCCTACTGAAGGACAAGGCTCTGTCAAAAGCTGAGCTGCTTTGTTTAAGACAGTTTATGGGTAGGCTGATGAGCAGGTGTGGTTTCCTCTATGGATTAAATAAGTTATTCAGTGAACTGTTTGTACAGAATACTATAGTTGACATACGTCCCAGCCTCAAAATATTACACACCTTTGCTGCCTTCTTTCTTCTCAAAAGGTGCGTTGTATAGCAGATGGACCTTCAGAGGCAGCTTATTACCTCCAGAAGCCATATGACTGCTGGCTTTGGGGTTTTGCTAAAACATTCTTAAAACAAGTAAACATTAAACAACTGCTGTTTGTCCCCAGTCACCTTCTGTAACAGTTTCTTTCATCCTGGCTTCAATCTTTGTACAGTCCAGCACTACCTTACCACTCCCTTACTCTTCCCAGCCATTCCCCTCTCCCCTACTTTTAGAGAGCCTGGTTTACCTGTACCAGCTGCAACATACTGCAGGAACATTTAAATACATCTAAAGGTGTAGTAACAGGATCTTACATTCATGTGACAGGAAAATGTCATTGTTACTCTCCTTTTACTGAGAACAGGCCTTCCCATAGAGAACAGATACAGCACGAAGTAGTAAATGACAGAATGTTTTTTATCACTGAGAATGTTTCCACCCATTACAGAAACCAGGCCCTAGGAGGAGAGACTGTTAAAAGCAGGTAGTTCAAAAAGATGCAAACTTTAGCTGAATCTAAATTTTAAGCATGAAAATACAAAACCTGTGTAAATCTGTATTTGCATGCAGAGATGGTGGGTTTGCAGGTGTTTTTACCAAATGTAGCCTTTATCTTAAGAATGTCTTTTGTTCTGACTCCACACAGAGTTAAGTGCACACAAGAAGGGCTTCAGAGTAATGGTCATGAAGAGTTCCTAGAGTCTAAGTGAACTTGAATTGTCAGTAAAATTAAAAGATTGCATGCTTCCAACTCAGGGAAGAAAATAAAATTCTTATATAAAGTAGTGAATGCAGGCATAACACAATTATACTACAGACCATGGTAAGTAAAAGAAACAAACAGCAAGGCCGCTTACATCTCAGCTGTTACATGCACTATTACACCCTAATCAATTGAAACACTTTTTCCAAACACAAACCTTATTAAAAACATTTTTGTCTACTATGATTACAGTAGCATTGAGAGCTTTACATTAGGGAAAGAAGGAAGCTGGACTTCATTCAGGATCTTATATAACAGAGAGACTGCAACAGGGCTAGCTGATCTTTTTTCAGCATTGATTTTTGTACTTTTCCTCCAAAATCACATTTCAGCAAAGATGCTTTGGCTTTTCTGGTTTCATACACAAATTATGGGTTTGAAATAAACTTCTCACAAACATTTTCAAGTCTTAAGTTAGGCTCTTTAAAAGGTATTAAGAAAAATTTGTAAAAACCACTCCTTTTTGTTTAAGGTAAAGCATTGATTCCTTACAGAAACTGATTTTCACAACACGCTTTTTCACTATTGATATCCATATAACATACCTGTATTACACTTCTGTTGCAATAAGCTCTACATTCCATAAAATCCCCCAAAGCACAGTTTTAGCACATCACGATCAGCAGACAAGCCACACAATTACACAAGGTAAACCTGTCAAATAATACCAAAAGTAATGATTAGAATAAAATAATAGTGTGTTGATGCTTATCCAGGGTTAAGACTTGCTCACAGATAGAAATGCACAGACTGTTCTCAAACATTGCCTAGTGCAAAGCTCCCAGGGAAATCAGTGACAGGGGTTCCAATCAGCTGCAATTTGAAGGGAGAAGGAAGGTCCTTGCAATGCCAACTTTTCAATGTGCATGCACACACTTTTTAGCTTTTTATATACATACATGCTTTTTTCTTTACTCATCCAGCTCTTACTACAGGATAAAATAACAATCCTTTTGAGCTTTTTCCCAACTTTCATCTTGCTAAAGACCATTACAAATTCAGCCTGATAATCTAACTTAGTACTAATAACAATCCTTTTGAGCTTTTCCCAAGTCTAGGAAAAAAAGCTTTTCATCTTGCTAAAGACCATTACAAATTCAGCCTGATAATCTAACTTAGTACTTCTAACTTCAGTTCAGACACCATATGCCAAGCTGTGTTGAAACTTTCAATTTATCCTGCTCTGGCTCACAGAGGAAGGTTTGTGACCAAGAGTTTATTAGGAAAATATAAGGTTAATAAGTTTAATTGGTATATTTTTCTGATCACTCCTAGTCTTGAAAAAGGTCTGTACATAACACCTAACACCGCTCATCTCACAGAAATCTGTCAGTGAGGAAGAAATTAAATCACTTTCCTCCCAATCCATGCTGCTCTATCATCTCTAACTCTACACCCAAATATTCAAAAACCTAAATGTAATTCAAAACACTCTATTTACAAGAAAAAAAAAAGGATTTTCCACATGCCCTTCAGATGGAAAAAACCCAGTAAAGACCAAGTGCCTTGATAACTTGGCATTTAAAAATGCAGAACTCCTAAATTCTTCTAGCTAACACGGGAGGAAAATCCCTTAAGCTCTCCCCATTCATGCTCCCTCTTAGAGATCCCCACAGTGCAGGCTTTTCAGCTTGTTTAGCACTACCTGCCAGGGTTCCCCTCCTCACTGATGTCTGCTTTAATTTTGTAAGGAAAACTTGCCCAGCACTCAGATAAAAAGTGAGTAACTTTCTGCTTTTCTCTCAGTTGTGCTCAGTTGGGGTTGCAGGCAAGTGACAGACCAGGGGGTTGGTGTTGGCATGAGATTCAGTTAACTGAACAAAATGTGTGAAACTACTGACATGACATTAAAAATGGACTAGGAATTACAAACAACACTATGAGGGGGTGACAAAAGTCACAGAGAGTTCTGTGAGGGTGCCTGGGTCCCACAGGTGCTTAAGGAGGAGTTAGAGGAGAAACTGTCAGACAGCAGAGAGAATTGGAAGGGACTGCCAGGGACATTCCAGGGACTAAAGTCATGCAAGGTCACACCTCAGGGTAACTGTGTCAGTGACACCATATAAGGCTGGGATTATCTAAGTAACCCAAATCTGAGTGCAGATGTAGCAAAACTGGGGCCAATGTGGAACAAGTCATTAGGGGTGGATTGTTTATTTGGGAGGAGCCTGCACTGGAAAAACAGAGGTGTAATGACAGTAAAAAACAGGGCCAGGAGATGGCAAAAGGAGCGAGGTGTGCAGCTCATTGCCAGTGCTGTCAGGCAGGCCTGGCTTTCATCACCACGCCCGGGCAGGACAATAAACCAGGCCTGCTCTGACCCTACCCAGGCTGCAGCCTGCTCCCCTGGGCAGAGCTCAGGGAGAGCTCAGGGGCTGGCCCCGAGCACTGGGGGGACAGCTGCTGCCACTGCTGCTTGTGCCCTTTAGAGCTGCCCCCTTCCCAACAGGCTCTTCACAGTCCTAAAATTCCCTACACATTTCATGGCCTTTCTTTGGTTTTTACTGGCTTGCTTTCCATTGCTAAAAGGGTCTAGAAATCAGAGAGTGGCAGGATACACGACCTGCCTTATCTGGTGAAAGCTGATACCAAAAACATTTCAAAGAACGGCCATAGAGGCTCGGCAATTGTTTGTTATTTGGAGTTTTTTTGCAATGTAACTGCATTCTTTAACAGTATTTAAACAGAACACCTTTTTTATTTAAATTTGATTGTTTATTAATAAAGCAGGAGTTAGTGATGCCGAGTCATATTTTAATGTTCAGACCACAATGAACACAAAATAACTTCATAAATAAACCTGAACAGGGGTTATGTAATTTGTAGTAACATGAAATTGATGTCTTCCCAATTTTCCAGTGATGAACATGATCGATACTATTTTATTTCTAAGAAAGCATCATAAAATGCTCCATTTTAAAAAAAGAAATTAAATTCGTTTACATAAAGAATGAAAAAAAGGTCTGAAACAATAACTGAATATAGTTGTATTAGTTATAGTTATAGTCCCTTTTGGTGCCTATGTAAAGGTAAAACAATACCTCAAAGAGCCGAGAATTGTGCAGTCTATTTAGAAACAAACAAACATTCATATAGCTACTGCTTTTTATCATAGTGTGATAATAATAACATTAGTACTAAATGAAAAGCTCTTATCTGAAAGAAGAATAAAATCATTTTTAAAAACAAAAAAGACATACAAAGGAAACAAAGAATGTGCAAGTGATACCAAAAGAAGCAGGGGAGGACACATTTTTGGATTCCAAGGGAAGTCGCAATTTGAAGATATTTGAAAGCAATTTAAATGTGAGATGTGGCCAGCTGTGTTCTGTCAGCACAGCTCACAAGTCTGTAGTAAAAGCAGTGTGCAGGAAGAAGAAACACCACCTTGCTCCTCATCCATATTTGAACTGAACAAAAAGCTAATCATCCCAGCCTATGGTTCTTTAGCTTCACTCAAAAATAAAATGTAAAGTTTCATCCCACAGGAGTTTTCTTATTACTTATTGCTTAGTTTGATTGTGCAAGACACAAACCAGGCCTGTAGTAGCAGGGCTGTCTTGGCAGGGAAGAAGAAAGCAGCAGCCACTGCCTCTGACGTGGCTCCCTGGCCTGTGCTGCAGCTGGTGCCCCGAGCTCACCTCGGCCCCACGTCCAGCACCCTGGCTCTCGGTCTGCTGCCAACACCCTCAGGATGCCAGGTGCCTTCAGCAGGCACTCAGCTCCCAGGACAGGTAGGGCTGGGCTGAATCACACTTTCAGTGAACTTCCTCCCCACAGGCACAGATAAGAATGGCACCCCACTGGTTTGAGCAACTCACCTTCTTAGAGCTTTAATTTTTTTTAGTGCAAAGAAAACATAAACACTAGGGTATGGTAAACATTCCTTACATGTTAAATACTGTTTATATCAGTCTGCTGAGTCTGCTTAACACCTAAAAAACCAAATCTGAGCTGTAGGGCAAAGAAGCAATCCTCCACACACTCCTAACTTTTCTTCCTGACTGCCCACTAAAAAAAAAAAAAAATTAAAAACAATCTTCTCTAGAAACATATCAATCTGTCAGCAAGTACAGTCTAAAATAGTCGAGCCATGTATGCACAGCAGACAGTTCTTAGAGTAGATGAATTTAGCCTTACCAAAATAAAAGATGAAACCAAGTAAAGTAATGCCCAGGTAAATCAAATCATGAAGCCTTTCTGGCTCTGTAAGTTAAACCATGAAATTGTCAAACTCTGTACAGGCAGCCTCCAAAAACACCAATGAAAAACACCTCTCCTTACAAGGACTTTTCTTTCTTTCTGTGCATCTCTGAACCAGACTAATAATTACAGTCCCCAGGACTGTTTTCCACCAGCCATCCTCTTTCGCCCTGCCACTTTTTTTCTCCCTCCAAAACCAGTCTCCATTTGCTTTTGAAGCTCTTGACCGCTGCCACGCCTGCAACCCCAGAGGCAGGTATTAACCATCATGTACTAAAGGAGATCATTACAGCCCAAATAAACACATTGATGGAATTTAGGGCCCAAAAACACCCGCCCAATAAACAGCAGAGAAGCCACCAGCAGATAGTACTTCCTAGTCCAGCCCCAGGATTGTGCAACCACAGGCTGTGTCAGGATGAAGGGTACCCCTACATACAAAGGGGGAAGAAGCCTTCAGGGACTCAGATCTGTTCCCCTTAGGCAAGGGACCTATTCAAATCTCTATGCCACAAGCACAACAATCTTTTGAAAGGGCCTTTTCTGTTCTCTGTCCCATGTCAGGGCAGTAATCTGCTCCCAGCAGCCTCTCCTCAGGCCTCAGCCTTGCTCACCTCTTCCTCAGGGAGCATCCTCTCTGAGGCACAGCCTGGCTTCACCCAGACAGAAGGCAAGAAGGCAGTTTTTGGGGTTTGCCCTTATACAGACCCCATACCATCGCCCTTAGCCATGCACCTGCCACAGCTCTTAGAGCCTTCCAGCAGCCCCTGCCTAACAAGGGGTAAACACCAAGAGACTACAGCTGAGGAAGGGCTCAGTAGTTGCTCTCCTAGCCCAGCTTTAAGAGACAAACATCTCATTAAACACAACCCAGCTTTTTATTTGCCTGCAAAGAGTGGTGCCCAGCTGGGGCCTTGGGGTTGGTGCACTTTGTGAGTCACTCTGGGCCTCACACAGCAACTGGTGCTTCAGATCCCAGCAGTGGAGCAAAGCACAAAACCAGAGCAGATGGGTACCAATGCTATTTCTAACCTCTTAGCAATATCTCCCTGAAGGAAAACCCACTGGTGCCTGAGGGCAGGCAGCAGCTTGGAGTGCAGGTGCCCCATGCACCTCAGTGACATGCTTGGGGAGCAGGACCTGGGGGCTTGGGAGACATGGGTGCACAGACAGTGGGATTTCGGGTGCAAAATTTCAAGCCAAGACCAACAGTGTTGGCATTTCAGGTTCAACAAGACCAAATGCCAGTCCCACCCTCTGGCCACAATAACACCCTGCAGCACTCCAGGCTGGGGCAGAGTGGCTGGGAAGTGTCTGGTGCTTGTCAACAAAGGCTGCCCATCAGCCAGGTGTGCCCAGGTGTGTATGAGGCACAGGGTGGCCAGCAGGAGCAGGGCAGTGACTGTCCCAGTGTGCTGGGCACTGGGGAGCCCACACCTCAAGTGCTGTGTCCAGTTCTGGGCCCCTCAGCTCCGGAAGGACATTGAGGTGCTGAAGGAGTCCAGAGAAGGAGCAATGGAGCTGGGGAATGAATCTGGGCCACGGGTCTGATGAGGAGCTGAGGGGCTCAGCCTGGAGAAAAGGAAGCTCAGGGGTGAACTTACCACTGTCTGCAACCCGCTGAAAGGAGGCTGCAGCCTGGTGGGCTCAGGCTCTCCTCCCAGGCAGTGAAAGGATGAGAGAATAGTCTTAAAGTGCCCTGAGGGACGGTCAGGTTGGACATAAGGTCCAATTTTTTCACAGATATTGGAACGGGCTGCCCAGGGAGGTGGTGTTTAGGAAAAGACTGGATAGGGCACTCAGTACTCGGTCTGGTTGACATGGGAATGTTCAGACATAGATGGGACTGGACGGTGTCGGAGGTGTTCTCCGAGCCCGCCGCTGTGCGCAGCTCCAGCCGAGGCCGCGCTCCCGGAGCGCCGCCCGCGCCCTCACAGCGCCGCGCACAGCGCCTGCCGCCGGTCTCGGCCCTGCCCGCGCCGCCCTCGGCCCGCCCGGCCCCGCTCGGCTCCGCCGCCGCCCCGCCATGGCCAACGTGGCCGACACGAAGCTCTACGACATCCTGGGCGTGCCGCCCGGCGCCTCCGACAATGAACTGAAGAAGGTGCGGCGGAGGGGCGGAGGTCGGGCGGCGGGGGGTGCTGGGCCCGGCCGGGCAGGCCCGCGCTGCGCCCCTGCCCCGGCGCGGCCCGCGTGGGCTCGGGGCGCGGGCCCGGCCCGCCCCCGCCGCACCGCAGGGGCTTCCCGGGGCTGAGAATCGCTGCGGGCCGAGCGCCGCCGGTGCCATTGTCTGCCCCACGTGCCGGCCTGGGGAGGATTCGGTTTCGCTCGTAGATGCGATTCCTCCCAGGCCGAAAGCGGCAGGGCGAGGTAAACAAAGAGGGGAGGTGGAAACTTGGAGCCAGGTCGTGACTACAGCAATTCCATCCTTAGTGTATAAAGCACTTTTTTTTCCTTTTTTTAATTTTCCTTTTATTTTCTTTTTTTTCCTTTTTTTTTTTTTTGTGGAGGCCTTAATGACCGTTTCCACGTGAGGGAGAGAATGAACCAGACGGTTCACTAGCGAGGCTTCCGCGGGTGGGTGGTGCTGGCACCAACAACTGCGCCTTACCCGGCATGCACGCGGCAGCCTGGCTTGTGCAGGGACAGGCGATTGCAGCGTTGAAACTGCGCTGGAGATGGAGGGCAGGCGGCGAGAAGGTTGTGCTTAGTATACAGCACTGTCCACCAGAATATTTTATTTTATTACAGGGTTCGCTTAAAGCTGTCTGTGTCCTTTAAGAATGAAAACCAGAGCAGTTTTTGCTAGGATAGCCTGCACCACCCAGTATTAATTACCACATATTAGGCTAATCATGGAATGTAAATTTTCCAACTGTCTGCAATACCAAGGAGTTTCTGTATATCTTATTGTCATTGAGAGGTTTCATGGGTGCTTTAAAATTGGTATTTTAATCTGTACAATAGTATAGAAAAATTGAAAATTAATCTTGGTCTGAAGGGGCTGAGAAAACAGGCTTTTACAGCAGCTAAATTAACTTTTACTGAAGTTATGTAGGTTCCCAGTGTAGACCTTGATTCTGGGTTTGGTTCTGATGAAATAGTGATGGTTTCCTTTAGGGCCATGGGGAGTTATAAGAGCTGCTCTGGCCTGGAATGCTGTTATCAGAAAAGATGTGAGGGCTTTCTCTTTTTAAAGATCACCACTGCAAGCTCCTCTTTTCCTGATTGGATAATGTTATTAGGTTATCAGTTTAGTGGTGTTTTGGGGTTTTTCTTGGTTGTAATACTTAAAATATATGGGAAACATCCATTACAACATAGAACACACAGGTTTGTGGAACATTATGCTTTGTTCCTGATGGGTGATTTGTCCAGTAAGATTAATGAGTTTTGGTTTTTACACTTACTGTGCTTTAGAATATTTGGCTTGTAACATCAACATTGTTTTTATTTCACTAGTTCTTTTTTGTGTCTTGATTGCATGCAGAAGTACAGAGTGTTTCAAGATAAAATCAATAATGAGAAATAACTGCATGGATATTAAAAAAGGAAATTTGCTCAGAAGCTGAGAAGTTGTGATTTATGGAAAGCTTTGTGTGTAAAGCTCTTAACATTGTAGTTCCAGAGAGTTAGTTTAGGTGCTCAGTTATTCAGAAATAAAGTGTTTCAAAAATCCTCTCCAAGAATTGATACCTCAATTTTTTGCCGTTTCATCACTGTAGCTTTTTTAATAGGTGTAATTTGAAAAATAAAAGACTATATACAATGTAATTTGTTGCTATCTGTTCCCTGATTGCTTCTGAGGGGTGTTGAGGTGGAGTAGAGGAAGGGTTGAAGTTCCTACAGTTTCTTCCAGTGGGAGAAGTCTCTGCCTGCTGTGTTGTTGCTTTGATTCTCTCAAATGGGGTAGAGGAAGGGTTGAAGTTCCTACAGTCATTAGCTCCAGTGGGAGAAGTCTCTGCCTGCTGTGTTGTTGCTTTGATTCTCTCAAGAGTAAGCAGAACAGATGAAGAGCTGCTGAAGAACCCATGATGGTCCACAATATCAGAGTGCTGGTCAGAAAAAAGCAGTGTGGAAAGTCCCTTTGGGGATTTGGCTGTACTTCTGCTCATTTACAGCAGGGAGCTTAACTGAAAGCAGTGCTGGGTACATTTCTGCACATGAAACTCATACACTGAGCTCGAAGTGAGGTGAGCCCTTCCATGAGTGATTGGTAGGCAAGGAGGAAATGGTTTTTGTGAGGAGTGGTTGTGGGGTGAATGGGAAGCTGAGGCAGCCATTTTGTTGTCACTGTACTGCTGTGGTTGAGGGCAAGGACAAACGGGTTCAAATCTGCTGGTGTGGAGCGTTTGAGTGGGTTCTGAAGAGTAATTTCAATGGAAATCAAATGGGATTCTCCCTCTACGTTAATGAGGATAAGCAGGAGAACTAGTTGTGGCTGTTGTGTGCCATAGCTGTGTGTGAATGCCAGTCTGGTTAATGCATGATGTAGCGATATTAAAATCTTTTTAGGTCCTATCAATGTATTAGTGACTTTGAAACACTATAATATTTACACTTTGCTTTATTAGGATTTTCTTTCTTCCTGACAACATTACTCGAGTTTCTCAGAAAATAACTGATTAATGAAAATTTTAAATAATTTTCTACTTCTTTCAACTAGGCATACAGAAAACTCGCCAAGGAATACCATCCTGATAAGAATCCAAATGCAGGGGACAAAGTAAGAAAGACTCATCTTTTTTTTTTTAAATACCTTAAGTTTTCTATTAGAGTATCATCTAAGGAGCTGAATACAGGTGTTGGGGGCTTTCTGTTGAAGTTGTTAAGCAGTACTGTGAGAGGGAGTGTTGTCTGGTCAACTTCTCCCCAGTCTCAAAATCTGCCAGTGTACCTCATGACAAAATGCAGCAGTTGGCTCAAATTGGTTGAGAAGATAATGCTGAGGAAAAAACTGCTTCTCATTTGCTGAGATAATGTCATCTGGCCGTGGCATCTCTGTAGGAATTTGAAAAAGATTGTAAATTTTTCAAGTTTTTCCAACATGGAGAAATGTATGTGTAAGAGATTCTTAAAATTGCTGCAGCACAAAACAAATTGCATATGTGGGAAGATTGAATTAGATTTGTTACACTAAAAGCAATTTTAAAATTGTCAATTAAGTTGACTCAGCTGATTATCTTTAACCAAATTGAAGTTCTGATGGCTGCTTAGAGGTGAGCAGAGATGACTGTGAAAAGATACTAATTTGCCAAATACACTAATATACCTTTCAGTAAGCTACTTAATTGTTAGTGTATTCTAAGTGCCCAGCATGTTGAAGTCTTTGCTGCTAGTATGTAACTGCTGGGTATTCTGCCTTTTGGCTTCTGCAGTATTGTGTACTTGGGGTTTTTTTTTAAGTTGGATTTTTTTTTTAATTTGTAAGAAGTCTGTTTTATGCTAGTAAAGAACAAAGCCAACCACGTTTTGCAGTAAAATGTTTTATTTTATGATAAGATGTAACAAAACTAAGCCCAAGTCTAGCTTTAAAGTCTTGCTAAGAATAAGTTATTTTTAAATGAGGGTAGAAAAGTGCTTCATTGTGTACCTTCTTAATTGATAAATGTTCATGTAGGGGGAGAAACTGATTAAATGCTGCCCTGAAGTTCTAAATTATCATGCACTGTTTTGACTGTTTCCTCTTGTAGTTCAAAGAAATAAGCTTTGCCTATGAAGTGTTGTCAAA